CAAAGAGGTTTAGTAAAACCAAAAAAGAAAACACAAACACTAAAACGAGTAACATAAGTTACTTAAACCCAATACTTACTCAACTAGGAATTCCACTGCAGTAGCTTTAAGACTAACTTTATTCAGCTTGTTCCTGACTGTGCAAGCAGCATTTTCCTGGCAAAACCTTTTTCCACAACGGCATTCATTTAAATAAAGGATTACACGCCGATCATTAGTATTGTTTTGGAAATTGACTTTGCAGAGCAAAACTTCCTGGGAAAAGGAAAAATACAGAAAACAGTTATACGACAATACAGATGATCAAAGTTGTATTCAGGAGGTAGCTTTGATTTAGCTATACCTTCATTAGCTCCCATGATGAATTACTATTTGCAGTGGAATCAAGCACTGCCTTATACGCAGGATTTGACATGGCAGTAGCTGCCAATACTCCAACAGGTTCTCCTGCTTCAAACAGACCTTGATGTCCACGTTCAGAATCAACTCCATATTTGAACTGGACGACTGAGTTACTACAGGTGTTTCTTACAGTTCCATCGTTTGTAATCACGATATCCCGAAGAACAGCCATCAGATTCTTAAAGAGAGTTCCAGGCTCAGCTAACCCCCTTGAAGAGCGAACAATTACCTCCCTAGCTGCAATTGAATGAGCCATCTCTTCATACGGATCCAGCCCGTGAAAGAAGCAGCCCTTCACTATTCCAAAATCACCAGATGAAGAAATCCTGCCATACTTTCTCTTGCAAAAGAGAGCCATGTCCTCTACCAGAGTCTTCGTGTAGAACTTCTTCTTGTCAGAAAGCTGAAGACCCAAGAAGCCTGTCTGCTGCACCAGCTTGTTTATTGCTGAGTTACTCTTCATGTCAATCAAGTTCCGCATGGAATATGACTTCAGCATAAAGTTAGCAGCCACTTCCTTCACTTTGTGGATACTGTTCTCTAGTTGCAACTCATCCTCATATGATAATCTCAAGCGAGACACCATAGGTGAAGTCTCCCGGATTATTAGGTTGTGAATAACAGCCATGTCTGCCCTAGACATAGATAAGTCTTCCAAACTTAAACTAAAGCCCTCAGCGAATAGACTTTCCATCAATAGAGGCTGCAGTGAATCAAAAAATCCAAGTGCCTCTTTTGGACCCTTCTCCAGGAAGATTGAAGTTACAATTTCACTGATGATGGATGCCATAACGTCAACCCCGAAATCAAACCTCAGCAAATCACTTCCATCAACCATGAATCTGTCCCCTTTGCAGCTCAGACGTTCAGGAAAGGCAAGCTGTAGAATCTGGAACACTGTCCAAGCTGGGCCAGATTTACTGGACTTCCTTAGTGCTGGTGGTGGCAGAGACAGAGAGCCATACATAGCTAGCTGTTGAGCAGTTGCCTTGTCCAGAAACACCCGCTCCAGCATAACCCTCAAAGAAAGTAAAGAATCACAACCCATCTGCAAAATCAGCTGTCCAGTATGTGAGCTAAGCAGTTGCTTGTCCACAGAGAAGAGCTCCATAACCTCTGCCTTAGCACTAAGTGACTGTGGGTAGAACAGATGGACACAATCACCATCAAAATCAGCACTGAGGGGGCTACACATCAGAGGGTTAATCTTCACGGTGTTGTCTTCATGAACATACACCCGAAGCGCTTGAAGAGAATGCTTATGTGTTGTCGGGGGTCGGTTGATAAACACAACATCCCCATCCATGACCCTGCGATGAACAACCTGCCCGGGTTTAAGCTCAGTGTGCCCCTTGGATCCATCTCTTAAAGAATAGGTTGTAGAACCTTGAGTATAGCTCAAACACAACTTCTTGTCTACCAACTCTTGTAGATAACGTATGTTGTGGACACTAACCCTGTCCTCGAATGTGATTCTCTGCGCAATTTCAATTGGGATCCCTACCTCATTCACATGTCGGTAAGCATCACCAGTGATAACGCTACGGGAAGAGAAACCTGAACCCTTGCGGATGAAAAGTGTTCTCATTTTCTCTGTCCAGGCTTTTGAGGATGAACTATCTGAGATCTTAGATACCCTGTATCTCATATCCATGGTTCTTGCTGCTTTCGCAGTACCCCTCACCTGCAGATAGGTGTCAACCACTCTGTACATGTCGTTGGCTTCAGCCTTATGCGACTCAAAGTTTGTCTCGCCAGATCTAGAGGTTTTTATGGCTACCACTCTCTTTAGAACGTCTTTCAGCTCGATTCTGGAAGGATCCTGAAAATAAGAATGAAACAAATCCAGGGGTTTCAACACAAGCCAAAGCATTCAATAAACTCAACACAGGATTTTAGTTTCAACTGGCTTACCACTGACATGGAGCTTAAACCATCAGAAATATCTGGCACAGACAAACAGTTAGGCGGGACTGGGAGATATTCTAATATGTATCCTTCTTGAGGAATATGTCCTTTTGCTGCGAGTTTCTTTCTTGTTTCTTCGGGGATCCGTCTTAGAATTTCCTTTACCTAATTGTTTTCCCAGCATATGGAAAAGGACACGGAAAGAACATAATCATCACTTTCCCGAAACAAAACATCTTTAAACTAGAGAATGACTCCAACTAAACAAAAAGATAGTAACCACAAAATCCTAACATAACAGAAACATAAGCAAGCAGAAGAAAGTAAAAACCTCTCTTGCAAGCAGGGGCCGAGTATAATCACTTCCATAGCGGTAACCATATCTTTCCAGGAAATTCCAGCAACCCGCCTGCAGTCTTGACCTAGATGGAAACTTTAGTTCTAGATATGAGGCACCATCTGATGCTCTGTCTCTGATTGAGATGTGCGAAGCTTCCTAATACAGTAATTCAGTAGTTAAAAATCCAAGACGTTCAGCAAATAATAACAATCCAAAATATCATATTAGCCATGAAGGTTCCATGGTGCCACGAAAATACCAATAACTACTGCTTCACAAGCATTGACAATTGATTAGTGTTACTTTCATTGAATGAATCAAAAGAAGCACAATAACTATTTTAGATTTGAATTAGCATGTTTCTAATATGCTGAACCAGGGTCCCAAAGGAAAACTTAGACAACTAACTAAATGCTGAACCAGGGTCCCAAAAGAAAATTCTGTCAACTTTATATGGCATTACTCACCTCACAACAAACACCTAATAAGCGCTCCGCAAGACCACCGCTTGTGCTCTGTACTCAGAAAGGTGAAAAATATTGGTCGAGATTTTATATGGTTTATGAAGTATTTTATAAAATTATGTGTGAATCAATCACATGGAATTTAAGAAAACGCAATGAGGTAATACCTTTGCCTTCTTTATCTTCAGACATTTCAAGCACAGAAGGCTCAGCATTTGTTTCAGCTCGATAACATGTGCAGGATGGTATATTGGCACTGGAAGCTGAATATACCCAAAATGACCTGAAAATGTAGAAACAAAGATCGATAGCTGACGAAGTATTCCAACAAACAATGTAAGAGCAAAAATATAGCAAATACGGAACTGGATTACCTTCACACTTATCTGGTTCTGTCGCACCGCAAGATTCACATTTGCCAAACTCAAGAGGTAACCCCAAGAATGGGTTAGAGAGTTGACTGGCATGGTTGATTGAGGATTCACTAATAGATGCTATACACTGCAAGAAAGAATTATAATCCAGTGAGAAACAGAAGAGTGTTAGAGGACATTTCACAGACAACATTTATATGCAAAAGTGTAGCAATTAGCATTACACAGTGCTGAGTACTATTATAGTGAAATTAAGGAATTTAGAACTTACAATTTCGTGGTGACTTGCAAGAGCAAACGTGATTCCTACAATCTCGCCTTCTGGAACTTCTGATGAAGATGCTTCCTCCATGACAGAAACCTAAAAATCGAAACCAGCATATGTTAACAAACAGAGTAACAAAGAAGAATCCACAAATTTCCAAAGAAAAATCAAGTCTTTGAAAAAAATATTGAAGAACAACTTCTCAAATATGTAAAAGAAACAATTTTTCTGCTCGTTTCCACAAAATCGCAGCAGTAGTAACACATGGTAAAGCAAAATATCCGAAATTTCAAACCTAGAGCAACCTACATTTGAAAACACAACAAACCCAGTACGGAGAAAACCCCCAAAAAAACACAGCGGAGTCATCATCGAGCTTTGTTTTCCCGGTAAACATCAAAAGATAAGAGTTGGGTAAGACGAGGTACCTAAGAATCGACGATTCAGCAGAGGATTTAACCCCTTTTGGTTCCTGAACCGGAGAAGAGACGAAAACAGCGGGAAACAAGGGTTTTTGCAGCTGAAAAGAGGGAGAATCAGAGTGAGCGAGAGTGAAAATGGCGGACCTTTTCTCTAAAGAGAAGGAGACCCAGAAAGAAGAATTGCAAGAGAAGAAGTTTTTGAGTGACACTGCTTTTTCTCTCCCAAAATATTTTCTTCTTCACTCTCATTAAAAAACCCACATTGCATGCAAAGGGGGAAATTTTTCAGTTTCCCTTTTATTACCTAATCAAAAGTTATCATCTCTTTTTTTTTTCTTTTTGGGCAAACAAAACTTTTTTTTTTCTTATCTTTCTTAATTACACAATTAATACTTGGGAAGTGCAATGCTGGTGAAGATGCTTAAAAAAAAACAAATACAAGACCATGTCAAATATTGACCCAAAACAAAAAAAAAGAAGAATAAAGGATTGCACAAATTTAGTAGTAAAAGAAAACATATAAATAATACAATCAACCCCATTAATTATTCGGTTTTGGTAATATTTATTTTGATTGATCGTCATCAATAAGTGTTTTCGTTTGCAACACGATAAATTTGATACGATAAGATTCTAGCGGGAACGATGTTGAAGTAGATATAATTTTTCATTGACATGGAAAAAAAACAGTAACAAATATAGTTAAACAATATTTTTATATTTTAGTATTGCATAATCATAACGAAGCAGGAAATTGTACATTGCTTCAACTCAAAAATCAAGTATCAAAAATTTAAGCTCGTCTTGATTTTTGGTTCTTGCATATAGAGAATAAATGACTGCAATTAAACCCACTTTCAGAATTTATTTTTTCTACTTCATCAAATTATTTATGTTAAAAACTAATTTAAGCCAATAAGAAGACCCACACAGCCTGAGAGATGTCAAGATGGGTCCTTTCAACCTTTATACCCCCCAAAACTAATGCTTACTACCTCTTAGCTTGCTAACATATATATAAATCAATTCTACTTACAGGAGCTCGACTCCTTTACTTGTCCCACCTCGTTTCTTTCTTCCTCCTCTTCTGTCCACGTACTTGCCTGAGAAGCTCTTCAAGTTCTTCACAAAGAGGTTCTGGAGTTAGCTGAATTATCTCATAATCATCACCATCACTATCCTCCTTGGGGTCAGTGTCCTTCTCCTTTGGATCAGTCTCCATCTCCTCAGGATCAGTCTCCTCCTCCTCAGGATCTGTCTCCTCCTCCTCAGGATCTGTCTCCTCCTCCTCACTTAGCCATCCACAGTGAAGATTCTCGAAACCTAATAAAATATTTTGACCTCAGTAAAGGAATGTTTCATGTGTTGAGATTGTTATGGCAATGAGTAAAAAAACTTTGACTACCTCTAACAGAATTTGGTGCATAATCTGCTGATGCTTCTCCCAATTGAAAAGCTGCTGGTGATGGGTCCATGACTGCTTCTCTAGTGATTGATAACTCATCAGCTTGGTCTTTTCCATACTCAACAACATGCATGTCCTGCTCCTGTATTACAAAAGATGGATCATGCTGCAAATTAAGTACTATTTGGGTAAAAATAGTTCAAGAAACCAGTATAGTTTCTGATCATGCAAGCAAAATGAATCACAACAATAAAGCAAGAGACTTGTGAACATGCAGAGAAAGAGAAAGTGAAAGAAGAAAACGAATCACCTTTTCTTCTTCTTGTTCTTCAACCAATTGGTTGGGTTGTTCTTCCCCAGCTATTTCTTGGTTCTTATCCTCAGCCATCTCTTCATTTTGATTCTCAGGCAACTGGTTGGCTTGTACCTCAGCCAATTGTTCGGGTTGTTCTTCTTCAGCTATTTCTTGGTTCTGATCCTCAGCCATCTCTTCATTTTGATTCTCAGGCATTTGGTTGGCGGGAACCTCAGCCAGTTGTTGGTTTATTTCCTCTTGCTTTTCAAAGCAAATAGAAAGGAGGGGACCATAGCTCTCATCTTCAATCAAAAACCAATGGTCTTCACCATAGACCTGAAAAATCAAAGTGGATAAAACGTTATTTTTAAGCTTCAAGGTACATGTTATCAGGGAAGGAAAATGGAGACCCTAAAACTAACGAACAAACCTCTAGCACTTCCTTAATACTCTCATTGATGACACGCTCATGAAACCCAAGATCTCTCATGCGATCTCGTGCTGCATCCTCTCGCATCAATCCAGCCTTCTGCAAAAAGGGGAAACAAAAGTAGCAATTTAAAACCATAAAAAAGAGAGACAAACATAGAAGAAAAGAAACAAGAACATCCATCAGATAGATTTCTATTTCTCCCTCAGAATCATTTCAACAAACATAACAAACCACCACCGCACTGTTCTGTTTAATACTCTATGTAACTGTAAAAGCTTTAATAGAGGACTCTGCTGGAGTTGTAGGTGTAGCTGTTCTAGATACTCCCAGGGAAGCATCTGAGGATTCTGACCAAGTTGCTCCTGATGGTGAATCTGTTAAACTTGGTGCTGCTCAGTATACTTATACTGCCTCAATATCAACCACTTCTGTTGTTGCTCTTTCACGACTAGAAGATGAACCAATCATGACCAAACCTACTAGTCACCTGCAAGTTTCAGGTCTCTCACCAATCTCTGAGGCTATCCTCCCTACTTCTAAATCCGAAGATACTACTCAAGCTACAAACCAAATGGCTTTCCTTCATTCATGAGCTGCTACACCTACTTTTAAGATGGAGCTTGCCTCGGCCTCCGGTGTTCCTCCCCTACTGCCTATGTTGGTTTATGATGCTATCACACTGCAGGGTTCTGAATCTTCAGTGGATAGCAGTGAGAACATGGGTGATTTGGATGTAAGTGATCATGGAGATAGCAGGTTAGAGATGAATGATCAAGACCTGAATTGTACGGCACAGAGCATCAGCATCCCGAGGAAAAAGCCTTTCAAGCCAACCCAAAAGATTCAAGAAATGTAGACGGTTGGAGGTCGCAGGAAAGGCAGTAGAGGAGGCCGAAGAATCGTCCATTAGAGTTTAGTGACATAACAATTACAAATTCTCTCCTTCATCTCTATAGTCATTCTAATCTAATGTCTATGTCTAGGCTTTTCTCTTACTTTTCCACTATGCTATCAAAAAACTATATGATACAAAAGGTCATATACTTTACTTGTTACCCTGCATTTTAATTTAAAAACAGTAAAGCTTATACCTTTCTTCTTCCTCTAGGAGCCATTTGTATCCCTCAGAAATCTATGTAGCGTCTGAAAGAAATTGGAGGACAAATTCTTAGTCTTTGGGTTAAAATCAAAGAAACAAAGAAACCAAAAAGTGATATGTTTTTACAAACCTATGCAATAACAAAAACGACGAAAAAAGCTTGGAGCACAAAAAGAAGAAACGAAACAAAAGCTGAGTTTTTTTCCAAAAATTCCAAAACGCGAGAGAGGTAAATCAAAAGTGTCCTAAACTTTCAAGCCCAGATGGATCCTAAAGAGTAAAGAGAATCACAACAAAACCCAGCTTCCAATTTCGCAACAGAAATAACAATTTGCTAAGTTGTTTCGTTCAGATTTTGATAGCGAAAGAGAGAGCTTACGACGCAGAAGATCAAATCGGCGGCGACTGTGGAAGGATTATTAAGCTGAAGAAGAAGCCGCGAATCGACGCCTCTTCGTCTCCCAAAATACTTCTTTTTCACGAGTTTGTAGAGTAATAATCAAAAACTTAGTAATTAAATAAGAAATTTTAATTTAATAAACAAATATTTAGTCAACCATTTTCTTATTGCGTTTAACCTCATCATGATCTAACTACTTCTTTACATGCTAAATATTGCGTAATGCATTTAGAAAAAATATATCTTATTATATAGATAACATGTTTTTTGTTCATTCCAGAAATTCATGGTTAGAATTTAGAAAACATTAAAAAACAAATTAATAGTTGCATTACTCGAGCAATTCACGAGTATTATTACTCTAGGATATTTTATTCAAATAATTTTAGTGATTTTAAAAAAGTATATCTCAACCGGAAAATGTTAAATTCTGCATAAACACTTTAAAAAAAAAAGAGTACATTATTTTTTTCAAAATCATTAAAAAAAAAAAAGAAAAACAGTGGTCATTTGGCTCATAACCAGTTTAACCACTAACTTGTCCAATGCGGTGGTGCAAATGTCAGTGATGCGGGCGTGAAGGAGGACACTGATAACATTTAGCAAAGAGGCCAAAAGTATCAACTTGTTTAATGAAATTAGTCATACTCGCCCATCCTCCTAAACCAAAACCAACCACCAACACCCAAACGACCACCACCACATTCACCACATACGCACCTCTCCAACCGCCTATCACTGCCGGTGGCTTCTCCGCTGCGTTTTGTCTGGAATAAGCCGAGCGGTATGTGAGTATGTGAGCGAGCGACGGGATGATGTAGACGGTGAACGTGACTAGAAGTGCACCAACGGCTGAGTTTATGGGACCAAAGAAAGGGAAGATTATGGCCAAGAACCAAATCGGAATCACCACTGGCAATCTTGTGACCGCTCGTAACAAAATGCTATTTGTCTCGTGCATTCCTATCACTTTCTCCCACACGAAGTATAGCGGCGTGCACGCGTACCCGAATGTTATAAACTGCATTAGACATCCAGATCTTATCACATAAGAAAATAATAAACCATTATAAACCAAAGTAGTACATGTTTGCATTAGTTGAAAGATAACTTTTAATCCTATTGCTAATAATTTTTAGTAACAGAGGGATTAATATTTTTATTAATATCATCAACTAATGCATTATTGCTAACGTTCATCAACTAAACAGAGGGAGTATAGTAGTTAATAAACACATTACTAGTCCTATTGAAAAAGAAAACTATTTTGTTAGATGTTCTAATCCAAAACCAAAAAATTATAAAGAAACTAGATTAAAACCAATACGTTTGAAACTGACCTGATGAATGAGCATAAGGATAACTGCAGCATCGCGCCACGGTGAGTTAGGAAGGAGGGCGAAAGCATTAGCATGTGTGAGAAGCTGATCTCCAAAGGCCCAGTAGACAGAAATGGCCGATGGAATGGTTAAGGTGAAGACATAAAGTGTAGCCAATAGATATATGTACTTAAACTTTCTTGGCCTCCACATTGCATGCATTATCTCCCTGCAAAATTTCAGACTATTAGTATGTCAAACGTCAATACAAATGCAGACACACAATGAAGGTTTGGGAATATATACTCACACCGTAACAGCATGGCCACCAAAAGTGTACAATATGTTAGTGGCTCCAGTGAAATACAGAACCAACTTGGTTGGGCCTGAATGAGTCACTCCTTCGACTTGACCGTGGACAAGAGCCGCAATGGTGAGGTACCAAGCGGTGTAAGTGGTCATTACAAGACCAAGAAAGGCCCATATTCTATAGTTGTGAAACGAGGGTATGAACACTGTGGTTGCGCAACATGCTCCGAATATGTAAGTCCATGTCCTCTTGTCCAGCTTGTCGTTTATGTAATATATGTTACTGTCCATTATTGTTATCATACGCATTATAATCAATATATGGTTTTGTAATCCGTACCTAACCAAAACTGAGATCTTAAACAAACCTTGCACAAGCGATGAGTTGGATAACAGAACCAAAGAGAAGAAATGTACAGTTGAATGTTAATCCTATTGCTTTCCAATATGGACCAAGCAAACCATCTAACACTTCGAACCACTGGAATTAACGCTTTAACGAGATATATCAACGGCGGATTAAAGATATCTAACGGTGGGGATTGAATGTAAGAGTTTTGTGAGTGTGTACCTGAATGACATGGTTGTTGAAGGTAACATTTTGCTTCTCTTTTCGGCTTCTGTACTCAACGTAGAGAACACTGATGAGATAAGCTGTCCAACTTCCCATAAAACCATAGAAGATCTGCAGAATCACACCTGATGCCATTCCCATTTGTGAAAACGAATAAGGTAGAGTCAGTAAAACTTGAGCAACCTGCCAACAAATTAGAACTATGTTATAGATACATGACATGACCGATACAGTGGTTTTAGTGTGTGAAATTTATATTAAAACCTGGTTGGATGCACAGCTGAACCAAGCATCATAAACAGAACCACCATGCCATAGAAAGCTCTTCATACACATGTCTTCTCCTCTCTCTCCAATCTCATCCTCCATTACTCCCTCCTCTGTTCCCTTAATCGACATCTTCAAAAGAAAGTTTGGAAACTATGCTTTTTGAGTTTGCAGCTAACTAAAGTTTCTACTGAAACTAAAACTAATGGGTCATTTTCAAATGGTGTTATTGGTTTTACTAATATGGAGATGAGTGAAGAGGGTGAAGAACAGTTACCTTTATGAATCTTTTCCACTAACAATGGAGACTCTCTCTCTATTCCTCTGTGTGTTTTCTTCTATCTACTCTGCTTTGTCTTTCCTTTTCGTTCGACTGGTTGAAACTAATAAGAGAGAAAATGAAAGATTTATCAGTTTCTTTCTTGGTTTCTCAAAGAGGTCCTGAGTCGTTTCAAGAGTTTGGAAATACTTAATTATGATTATTTTTGGTCAAAATCAGAGAATGAAAAAAAAAAGAAAAAAAGATACCATTCTTGTTATACTTATTACCCCTTAATTGGTGAATTCAAGAAACATTTCTAATCCCTACTATAGTAAAAGAGAAGTACAAAAGTTTCTTGGGTCGGGTTTTTTTAAAAAATTAACCCGAAATTTTTCAATTGGATCTTATTAAAAATTTAAAGATATTAAATACCAGTTTCCATATATATTATTTCGAAATCTACCAAATTAAACCATCAATATCGGTTTTGGAAAGTACATTAATCTTGATTTGTTTAAGGAAAAATACATTAATGTATGATTTTGTATATTGGTTTAACAAATTAACCTAAAAATCAGAAATATAAATTAAATATAAAATATTTATCAAATTATCCATAATATTTCAAAACAAAATGTTCCTTAAATATCTTATATTAATATTTAGATGTATAGTTTTCTCCTATATTAACTATGATCTTCACACCAATTACGGGATAATTCATTTTCAACCATCTTTAATATATTTATTTGGC